TAACACAAAAATACCTGCTTGCAAAACAGCCTGTGCATTTGCCAGCCAACTCAGATATTATTTCCTCAATTGTAGGCATCTGTTATTGAGCTCATCTCTGTACTACCTTGTTTAAATGAATTGCCCTATGTAAATGTATTTTGTCATTTTTTTTACCAGCTGTCATGCTCCTTACCAGACTCAAGGGCTGTGCCTCTTCACTGAGTTTTTCCACTTGATTATACTGAAATCATTTAATGCATCAGTTGAATCATTTAATCTAGTTCTTGTACTGCATATCTGACAGATATTGCAGTCCTTGAAGTACCTCTCAGTAATCTTTTAGTAGCTTTGTTCCAAGGTGCATACTTTGCTTTGACTGATTTTATTTCTTTGGTGTTTATTTTATGGCTTGTTTGTCCTATTATAATAACTGAGACAATGCATGCCCTGCAGTAATTCAGCTGGCCAAAATCAGGGCGAGGATTCATACAGTATTGTGGTTACCAATGCACCTGCAGCATGGTTGGGATTTGCCTGAGAAATGCCTCATTGACTAGATACTGGCAGATTGGCTCTACTGGACAGCAACAGAAAGAAGAGAGGGTCCCAAGAAAAATAGTCACTAGAAGCACATTACATCACCATCAAAACAATCAGTTCATGTTGAAACCCTCCCCTAGGAAGGAGAATGCTAACAGTGAGGCAGTACAGAAGGAACTTTATATCTCCGGCCTTAATGATTTAAAAAGGTACCCCCTCTCCTCCAAAACATAAAAATCTCTTACAACTGTCTGAAGTCCCTGCATCTGCATTCCAAGACTTGGGTGGTGTCATCAGAGCATTTGCCAGTGAAGACTGAGGCAAAGAAGTCATTAAGAACCTCAGCCTTCTCCAAATCCAGGGTAGCCGGTTCTCCTGATACCTTCCAAAGAGGACCCGCGTTGTCCTTAGTCTGCTTTTATTCACAATGTACCTCCAGAATCCCTTCTTGTTATCTTTCACATCCTTAGCCATTTCATTCTAACTGGGTCTCAGCTTTCCTAACCTGGTCCCTTGCTTAAATACCTTAATAGAAGCATTTTATTTCAACAATATGCCGGAAGGAAGGAATGCCATCCAGAGGGACCCTGACATGCTTTTGAGGTGGGCTGATGCCAACCTTACAAAGTTTAACCACATGCCAAGTGCAAGGTCCTACACCTGGGTCGGAGCAATCCCAGGCACAGCTACAGGTTGGGCAGAGAAGAGATTCAGAGCAGCCCTGCAGAGAAGGACTTGGGGGTGTTGGTTGATGAGAAAATGAACATGAGCCGGCTTCAGTGTGCGCTCACAGCCCAGAAAGCCAACCGTATCCTGGGCCGCATCAAAAGGAGGGTGACCAGCAGGTCGAAGGAGGTGATCCTGCCCCTCTACTCTGCTCTTGTGAGACCTCACCTGGAGTATTGTGTGCAGTTCTGGTGTCCTCAACATAAAAAGGACATGGAACTGTTGGAACAAGTCCAGAGGAGGGCCACGAGGATGATCAGGGGACTGGAGCACCCCCCATATGAAGATAGGCTGAGAAAGTTGGGGCTGTTCAGCCTGGAGAAGAGAAGGCTGCGTGGAGACCCCATAGCAGCCTTCCAGTATCTGAAGGGGGCCTATAGGGATGCTGGGGAGGGACTCTTCATTAGAGACTGTAGTGATAGGACAAAGGGTAATGGGTTAAAACTTAAGCAGGGGAAGTTTAGATTGGATATAAGGAGGAAGTTCTTTACTGTAGGGGTGGTGAGGCACTGGAATGGGTTGCCCAGGGAAGTTGTGAATGCTCCATCCCTGGCAGTGTTCAAGGCCAGGTTGGACAGAGCCTTGGGTGACATGGTTTAGTGTGAGGTGTCCCTGCCCATGGCAGGGGGGTTGGAACTAGATGACCTTAAGGTCCTTTCCAACCCTAACTGTTCTATGATTCTATGATTCTGTTAATAGTCTTGGCCATTAAAAAAAAGAAATCCAGAATCTGATCCAAGTTAAATAAAATCACTGACACCTGCCTAAGTTTGCAGACAACTTTATTAATATTTGTGAGAAGAACTTATTTATTAGTCTATTTACTGTTTTAAATGACAAGCAAATCCCATTCCAGCAGTAGAACAGAAATAGGAAAGGCAAGGAAAAGGAAAGGAAACCCAAAATACTACTCCTATTATTCCTAAAGGGCCACTGTCTTGGGAGAGGTTTCTCTGGTTATTTCTCAAAAAGTTTGCCTTCACTTTGAGTGTGTGCATACTAAGGGCCATAAGGTGGTCAGGGAACGGAAGCGAACCATGTCACACTGCTGGAATCAGGGCCCTTCCCATGTCACAGGCAAAGCAAAGCTCCCATGGACAAAATTCATGTTGTTTTTCTACCTGCCATATTTGAAGTGCAATATGGGCCATTTACTGTGAAGGGAATAGCTGTCTAGGGGAAGGACAGGCAGACAGGATCATGTTAACATTAAACTCATTTTCTTCCCAAGAGCTTCATTAAAGAGAACAGACAGTATTTCTTCAGGGCTTTAACATATACTGAAATCCCCCAAATCCATTTTTGAGAGATATAGCTGTTAACAGCCTTACTTTATAGAGAGGCAAGATGGAAGTCAGAAATTTTGACTAAACATTTGTTAGTGGTCTTCAATTTAAGTCCCTTGGATTTTGGAAGTTTTATATTTCTTCCTGCTGTCTTCCTCCTTCCTTTAAAAGGTGCTGGGCTCCCATGACTACAGCTAAGAAAAGTTGTGCCAATGCTCAGCATCACAGAAAATTAAACTCAAATGATTTCAGGTAGAAGGCCGTTAAAAGTTTCAGTGCAAGAAACTGGACTCTCAGCATCTTACCCAGGTCTTTGAGATTCGATTTCCTCTAGCTAAGCACTTCTGCACCAGAAATTCACAGTGCTGCCACCATGTATCTGTGTGAGTGCAAAATATCTTCAATAGAAAAGGCCAAAGGGCAAACAGCTGCCTCATAATACTTTGAAATTCAGTCTTCGAAGTGATGAATGGTTATAGGGACATCTACAGTCTTTCAAAAGGACAAGAGCCTGCTTTGCTCATTCTCTGAGCTTATCAGGAATGGACCACTCCAAACTGAAAACCTGCAGCCATGGCTAGTGCTTTGATGAACACAGGGACAACGAATGGGCCCTGCAGCCAGGATCAGCATTATGGTAACATTATTATTTAGCTTTAGCTGCCCAGACTGCAGGTAGAGCCTCTTCCCATCCTTATTGCAAAGACTTCATACACATGTTCTAAGCAACAGCTGTTGCATTACTCTCTTGGAAATAAAATATGTTACAGAAGTCTCACCCCCCTCCTCTCATGGCTGTTTTCACATGTTTTTACTCTATACTAAATCAGTTTTATGTCCTTCTTTTCTCTTTAAAAATTAGTGTTTTATTTCTTCAAAGACTGAAGCCACTCTGCAAGGTGAAGAGTATAGTGGAGAGAAGGCACAGCCAGAATTTAGGAAGCTTGAGAGTTTTCCACATCACCATTTTTTTCCTGGCTGTGAGTGCAGGAGAATAATTAAGATTCTTACAATTAATAAAATTGGGTATCTGTGTAACTTCTGACTGTCTGTATGCAATGATTCATTAAAAATGGTGATTTATCTGGTTTGTAGTACAAAGATGAAGTGACATGCTTTACTTTTTTTAAGCAGTTAAAAATCATTCCTCAGTAAATACAGTATTTTGCTTGACTGGGTTTTTACTTCCTAAGTCATCCAAACCTCACTGACATGGGACTACATAGCAGAAATTATTATCACAATTTCGTCTTTGCTGATTTGGTAAATAAGGACAGGAGTCTCTTTGTATTTTGTAACTACCAGCAAGATTTTAAAAGCTTAACAGTGGCCTTGAGCAGCCTCTGTGTCAGACTAAATGATGCAGCACAACTTGAAGCTGAGGTCTCCACATTTGTTTTGTTCCAGGCCTGTTTTAAAAGTCATTTGTGCTGTAATGTTTACAGAAAGAACCAAAGACAGCTGCTCTGTTATTGGAGACCTGTGGTTGCACTGAGCAGTTGTCTACATCTGCAGATGGGTGGTCTGCAGGTCTTTGTGTTCCACCCTTGCTATCTCAGGCTTTTCTCCTCCCTGCATTCTGTGTCTTGTCTCACAGATCCCAGTGAAGTTGGGGAGAAGCCCAACTGTTCCAGCAGGGCCCAGTGATTTCATAGTATTTCACTTGAGCAAAGTCCACCTTTGTGAAAATGGAGGATATAACATAAACCCCCTGGGTGCTGTTACTCGCCCTCTTTCACTTGAGCAGTGCAGAAACCATTCAGATAAATGTGATTATTTGTAATGAAATTCCTGTGCCTGTGCTATTTACAGTAGAACTTTCAGTTCCAGTTGTAGTTTCCTGATTTAGATCTTTTAGCAGTTCTTGTGTCCTATATAAGATCTGTCAGATCCCTGAACAAATACTACTCCATTTTATAGCAACTGAACTATACTTTAACTTTTGTCCTACAGGACAAAAATCCTGGTTTCACAGGAAATGAGAAGAGGAAAACAAGAAAAAGAAGATAATTCTGAGCTAAATGCAAAAAAATAATGGAAGTTGCTAGAAGGGAAAAGAAAGGAGAAAGTGAAGAAATGAACAAGTGAAACAAGAACATTAATTTAATGTAGGCATGTTTCACCCATGTTACACTAAAAAAGGAATGAGCTTGTTCTCATCCCTGCAGGACTGATGCATTTGCCGATCAGCTCACTGTAGGGAAGCAGGAGGGCTGTGGGAGGTCAGGGCTGTTGGCAGTGCATGATGGCATTCCACCTCCAACCTCTGCCTGTGCAGTGCAAAGAAGCACTCCAAGCCTGAAATGTACCACCCGAGTGACAGTTTACACCCTGACACACTGGTGGTTACAAAAAACTTTTACATCATTCTGAAAGCCATTCTTATTCCAGGAATAACAAAGCAAATAATTGTCAATGGTGTTCTGTGTGACAGCAGAAAGTAATATATTCTTTCAATATTTATAGGTAAAATGTGGCAAGGCCTTACAATACAGAGCACAGTGAAGTGTTACAACAGCCTGTAGATCAGAACAGAACAGAAAGGAATCTCCAAAATGCAGGACTGAAATATATTGCTTTACAGCCAGAGGTATCATTTGAGATGAGCAAAATAAAATGCCAATTGCTACAGTCAGCTCTCTGCAATCACCCATTTCAGTAGACAATCTATCAGCTACCTTCTAGAAATCACCAAATATTGTAACACCAGTAAAACGTGGAGTCACCACAGCGCTTATAAAGCCAGGGATTTGCTTCATCTCACATGCAGAAATCAACCTGACACAACAGCTTGTTATTAGAAATGTATTGAATGTGGATCTCTAGAGCAGGGTCATAGCAAGACATTTTTAATTCCAGGGCAGGTGGGGCTCCCACTCGTTTTCCCTCTTGCCCGATCCCTCAGCTGGTCTGTATTACAGCCTTCTGCCAGCACAGGAGTGTCAGAGAGCAGTGTAGTGAGGTGCAAACTTTGATTAGAGCAAGTGTTGCTCTAGCAGCAGAGGTCATTTGTGTAGCCACAACCTATTCAGACAAAAATCTGCTTTTGTCATCCAGGAATACAGTGTTAAAACAAAACGGTGATTTTTGGTTAAGGGTTTTTTTATTTGGTTTCTAGAAATGGCATCCTTATTCAGTATACTTTCAACATAAACTTGGATTTTTCCTAGTGTAGAAGCAGCCTGCAAGAGTATGCGAGAGCAGCTCCTTTCTTTAGTGAGCATACCTTCTGTACAAGGCACCTTTTGTGTTATTCTGACCTGCCCAGAAGGCAGCAATTCCCACTGGCCAAAACTAATCACCAAGTTGAGGAGCTCTCAGCCTGGAGAGCGGTCAAGCAACCAAGTCAGGCACCTCTGATGAGTGGGCCATTTTACCTGTAGCCATTTAAAGTACTTCTGTATTTCACAACCTGTTTCATCCAGTTGTTGTCACATTAGTGAGCATTATATATGCATTATAGTGCATTCTTGGAGAAGGAACACATCTGCGCTGCCAAACACTAGATACCACAGTCCAGCACCATGTGGTAGTTCCCCTACCACATCCCAGAACAGGTGGAGTGTCCAAAGCCACATTTTCAAGATCTGATTAGATCTCTTTATTGCCAGCTTCACAAATGACTGCAGGTTTTTTATATGGCAAATACTCATTTTCCTTCTGTGTCTGTGATTTAATCTACCTTTCTCTGGCTTCTAGACTGATAGATAAATGGGATAAATACACTCAGTTTAACACTAATTCAGAGTTAAACACTTTCCATTCTATGGGTCTACCAGAGAACTTTTAAATGTATTTTATAAAGCGAAGAGGACACACCTTTTCTGGAAGCTACAAAGTCATGTAGCATTTACATGTACGGGTGCATCAGATGATAACAAACTCTTTCAGGATTAGGAAAGTACACAGAGCATACTCAAACTATGCATAGTTTTAACAATGTTTAACAAATATGCAAGCTAATAATCAACATGACATTTGATTGTTCTTGTGCCAATTATCAATAGTTCCTTAATCCTTACCCTACTCAGAAATAAAGGAATTTTTGAAAGAGGAAAAGGTCGAATTGTTTTCCAAATTAGAAAGAAGGGGATCCCAAACACTTTAAAATTTATCTGGAAAATGGAATACCTTATGTGGATTCCCTCTGCATGTCCTTCTGGTGACACAGATATAACTTTCTGGGTATAAGAGCAGCATACTCAAGAAGGTAGAGAAGCTCTCATGACTCAAATTCATAGACTACAGAGATTTCCTATCTTCCATATTTAGTTCTGGTGGATTATATTTTGAAAAGCATTTTTGTATCCCAAACAATGTAGTGGAAAATGAGAAGGGTGAAAAGTATAATTAATACCAAGTAGGATATGTAAAAACGCAACTTCCCTGTGCCAGAGAAGCAATAAGTTTCTACCTGGTCCCTTTTGGTCTAAGCTGTTTGATCAGCTTCCCTCAGTCTCTGTGGATGTCCTTATACTAGTCTAATTGAAGGACCCCTGTTCTCTTTTTATTTTTGCTCTATGAAAAATGCATTGGACATGTCTTATAATGAACTTTGATATGGTGAAATGATAATAATGTCCTAATTATATATAAAAATGTAATTACACTTGCTACTATTATAGAAAAACTCCCTTTATAATGAAGTGTTATGTTAGAAAAAAAGATTTCATTATCAATGGATTCCTTTACTTGTTAATTTGGCCTGTGATTCATCGCTTTAATATTAAAAAAAAATTCTAAGTTACTTTTGATGTTTCTCATTTATGGTTCATTTCTCTGCTCTGGCACCTTAAGATGCCAAAAATTACAAACTTATTTAAGATATACTTTAAAATGCACTAGTTCTTTAAAAGGATTATAAGAAAAAAAGGAGTAAGAGGTTTTTTTCTGGTAAAAATATTTTATAATGGAACATGGAACCAGGTTAAATACCATGGCTGTATTCTCACTGACCAGTTGTCTTTGCTGTTAAAACTTCTTTCCTTGGCATATTATTAAAGAATAGTAGTACTGAATACCTAAAGTTGTTAATGAAAGGAACAATAATAGACCATTCAGAAAATAACAGTTCAGTGAAAGACACATCCAGTCACTTCTGAAAGTCACAATAAAAATCTGAACAAAAATAGAAAAGAGGAGAGAGAATGAACATTGTGTGATCTCAAGTCTAATATATCAAAACTGATATGACTTCAGAATAAGAATATTTTCCCTCCTGTACAATGAGAAAAGTACTTCAGGTGTTTCTATGAGCCAGCAAGTTTTCCTCTGCATTATAAGGTAGCAACTGATAATGCAGAGGAAAACTGATAAACCTGCTTAAAAGCCAGAGGGGGAAGGTGACCGTAAAGCAGTGGTTTTCTAATAATTGAGAAAGATAACAATGCTCTGAGCAGGAAAGAACATTTCCCAGCTCAAAACATAATGTTGTTATGAGGTGATAGAATGTCCAACCAACTCTGCTGAACTACATAGTCGCTGTAAAGAGACATCTCCTAAGACTTTTTAAATTGAAAAAAACGATTTTTAATAAAGTGTATGTCCCAGCTTATATCATCTTTCCAACTACAGATCTTCAGTTTCCTTTTGCATGGAAGACCCTGCCCCTGGTCATTCATCATTTCCTCTTCTTATATTCAAGGTGGCCTCAATAAAAGAGGCTCTGCCCCACTAGCTGCCAGCAGTTGGAGCTCCAACCCTTGATGTAATGGAACTGCCTTGTTACAGTGCGTTATAGAAGCAAACAAAACATGAGGAAGAGGTTCATGCATCCAAAAGCTCCTCTGTACTGGAGACCTAATGGAAGATACCATTCTTTTTTACAAGCCTTGCCTCATCTGTCTTTAGGCCATCACAGCTGTAACACCACTGATGACAAAATTTATCTATGGATAAAGTTAATGTATTCTGCATGATGCTTACCTTGCATCATACTCTCCACTCTTGCAACCTTGACAGATACTTGTGTGAAAATAGCTTTCTGCTCTCTTTATAGTTTACATCCCTAAGTCCTTGCTTCATTTTGCTTATTTGAATGAGAGAAGTAATTACTATTTAAACAAATATTTTTTAAAAAAAGTGAATTTGAACATAACTATTCTAAATGAAACTACATCTGTCCATTTACATGGTTTTACCCCCATTAATCAGGAAATCTGGATGTTGTTTTCCTGCCCACAATATAGTTAGTGTTTATTAAAGTTATATGCAATTACTTGTATCTTGTGGTGACAGAATAGGGTCTGACATTTTCTTCTTACTCACTGTGTAGCCTAGATCTGGCTAGTCCAAATAATTGGGACAATTTTTTAGTATTTGCCTTTCCAATATTAAGAAAGAAAAATAAAAAAAAAAAAAAAAAGAGCGGGGGAGGGGTGTGTGTGATGGAGACAGATCAGAAGTTTGGGGCATTCACTAAGCTGAAGTCAAAGCATTATACTTCACAAGTTTTTCAGCTGTTTCACCCTGCCAAAGCTGAGACTTTCCACCAAAAGAAGAGAAGGAGGAAGAAAAAGGATACTGGGAAAAGCTTCAAAAAAATACATTCTTGCCTTAAGTGAAGTCAGTGTGAAAAAGGCATTTGTTAAAAGAATGTTTCTGGGGACAGGACCACTCTTATGCTGCGTGACATCACTATCTCACATTCCAAAGGATCATTCAAGGTAATGATTCCACACCATTCTGTTACTGTTGTACTAATAGATGAGATTACATTTTCCTGGCTAGAAAATTGACATTTTTAAGATTATTTGCACATGCAAACTAAAATATATTATATAGAAAAACATTCTGATAGATATTAAGCATGAGTGGCTGGTGTATATTCAGATTTATGGTATTGCACTAAAAAGTCCCAATCATGATACTTTAATATCATGACTGGGGAGTATATTTAGCTCCTCTAGACATCCTTTCAAAACATTTTCCTAATGAATTCTTACAGTTGCCCCATGTAACACGGCAATTTATTTCTTCACAGTCAGTAAATCAGAATCTTATCTTAGCGTGCATTTAAGCTTATATAGTTAACTCCAGGAAAATTACTTAAATGAGACCCTAAAACCTGGAAGCCTGAGAGAGAAAGGGACATATCCAAGGCCATAGAACAAGTCAGCTGTAGGACTGGGACATGGGCAACATCAACAGGGTGGATTGTTCTTCCAGCTGTCCTAATAGAACACCTGGCTCCTTTCCAGTTAAAAAACCCCAAACCTATTAGTCAACCTACTGGCTAAATCAACAAAGCATTTGCTAATGGCCTATGTTTTGAGGGTATTTTGGGGTTTGTAGTTGGAGAGTCTAGATATACAGTTAAATAAAAATGAGATCAGCTTGAGAGGTGGTACTGAATATATGCATTCCTAAGCTACTGCATTCTGTTGAACTATCCTCTCTTCAGAGTGGAAAAAAAAACATAAAAAATCAGTGAGAATGTGAGGAAAGGCAGAACAGACTTTTAAAATAGAGCAACAGATGGAGTCTGCAGTAGAGCAGCAAGTGTTGCCGGAGGAGTGGCAACCTCATGCACTACCACAATGTAGAATCCCCCCGAGTTTTTTCTCCTTTGCTGAAGTAGCACTCACATGA